AAAAAAAAAAAAAAAAGGACTTGAGTCTGAACTCACAGAGACACACACAGCGAGCCTCCCCACGAGGTCCTGCGTGCACACACAGGACATGCCCAGAAGACAGAGACACTTGGAAGTTGGGAGGAGTTGATTTGGAGCCAGCCCAGGAAGGGCAGCAGAGAGCAAGGCGCCGGGAACACTTCTAAGAACACCCAAGGCCTGGGAAACACTGAGGAGGGCACAGATCAGAACTGGGGCCAGGGCCAGGGCCAGGCAGGGCTCCTGACCTGCATATGTGTTCTGTTTGGCAGATTTCAAAAGCTGACTTAGCTGCCACCATTTAAAGCAGGCGTCCTCAAACTACGGCCTGCCTGGGACATTTATCCAGCCTGCCAGGTGTTTTTGCCGCTGCTGCCTGTCCTGCTTAGCAGTCGACTTGTCCTGGGGCCCTCAGTCTGGCCCTCCAACGGTCTGAGGGACAGTGAACTGGCCCTCTGTTTAAAAAGTTTGAGGACCCCTGATTTAAAGTCAAAAGAATTCACATCAAAATTTTCATTTCTTGGCCTGTGATTTGTCTGGAGATGTGGTAAGTCTGGGTCTGGAGCCCCCACCTAGCAATCACCGGATCAGCAGCAGAAGAGCAGCCATCTCTCTCTCTCTCTCTCTCTCTCACACACACACACACATAGCACCTTCTCCAGCTGGACGTGGTCCCCACCACCTGTCCTGTTGGCTCATCTCTGCTTATGCTAACTCCTTTTTGTTGGGCCTTGTGGGCATTTGAGTCTGAACCTGGCAGCTGTACAGGGAATGCCTGAAGGGGAACCCCTGAGGGGGAGCCCCTGGCTCATGCTGCTAGAGGCCCCGGGGGCGGGGGGGGGGGGATTGTTACTGAGTTGCTATCTCCTCTGGGCCTGGCCCAGCCTGGGGAGGATGGGGAAGATGCCATCTGTCACTGTTCTCATCCTGACTAGGCATCTGCTCTGAGCAGGACCTGGGCTGGGAGCTTCCTCCCTCAAGGTAGGAGAATAGTAGACAAGCCTTTAGGACTCTGAGCAAGAAAGGCTGTGCTAGACCCACCAGGGCTGTGAGAGCCCCAGGGTGTAAGGGATTTGCTGGGCCCACAGAATGTTACAGGCATTTGATTTAAAAAAAGGTCTTGATGAAGCTGGGCATGGTGGCTCTTGCCTGTAATCCTAGCACTCTGGGAGGCCAAGGCAGGTGGATTGTTTGAGCTTAAGAGTTTAAGACCAGCCTAAGCCAGAGTAAAACTCTGTTTCTATTAAAAATAGAAAAACTAGCTGAGGATTAGGCACATGCCTTTATTCCCAGCTACTGGGGAGACTGAGGCAAGAGGATCACTTTAGCCCAAGACTGGGCTCCCAAAGAGTCTTCCAAGAGAAGAGGCTGAGACCAACCTCAACCTCCTCTCCTAAGAGTTTGAGGTTGCTGTGAGCTATGATGATGCCAGGGCACACTCCCCAGGGCAACTGTGTGAGACTCTATCTAAAAAAAAAAAAAAACCTTGAAGAGTGGGGACAGTTTTGCCACATTAGAAAGAAAGAGAAGAACCCTCCAGACTAGACTTGCACAAGCAAAGGCAAGGGCTAAGGAGCTTAGCTCTCTCCTTGAAGGCAAAGAGAAACCACCAAAGGTTCCCTCAGCCAGGGCAGGGACAGAAATCCCAGGCTCCCTGTTCGCATCCTGGCCTCAGCCCAGATCGTCAAGGATGGGCACTCACCAAGGGTCTGCTGATTGCGGACGCCACCAATTACCACGCAGATCTCGGCAGGCACGTCGCCAGTGCCATCCTTGCCGACTGCCTTCTTCTCTTCCTTGGCCTCGCCCTGCCAGATCACCTCCTGGATATAGTCGTCGGGCAGCTCCGTCTTCACCTTCACTTCAGTCATCGTCCCCTGCTCGGCACTCAGTGAGGCCTCAGCCGCCACCAGCTCTGGGCCTTCCACCTTGGTGCTCTTCTGGCTGCGCTTCAAGCGCTCCCTGGAGAAAAAGAGTCTGCTCAGAGTGGACCCCAAACCTGCCACCAGACCCACATGAGAGCCTACCAGCCCAGAACCCCACAGGTATACACAGGTATACACAGGCTGTGTATACAGTGAATGGCAGGGTTGCCAGACCACTTAGCCTCTCGCATGCCCTCAAGGCTGCCCCTGAACCTGCTCCAGGGAACTCTGGGGCTCTAGGGAACATAATTTGAAAATCACTGGGCTAGTAGAGCTTCAACTTCACCCATTTACAGTTGGGGAGGCTGAGGTCTAAAGAGGTCCAGATGTGCCCAGCTGCCTCACCTGCCACTTACAGAGAACTACAAGGGCACTTCTGGCTGGTGGAAATCAGGTCTTATCCAACCTCATTGTGCTCACAAACTGGCTGGGGATCTGGACAAAACACAGATTCTGGCACAGGTGGTCTGGGATGAGGCCTGAGATTCTGTGTTCCTAATAAGCTCCCAGGTGGGACCAGAGCCGCTGGCATTCAAACTGCAAAGTGCCTAGTGCTGCTCCCTTCGCTTTGAGACAGGAGGGCCCGAGACTCTGCCTGCCTCCGAGCTCTTCCCCGCTCCTCTTCTGCACAGGGAAACTACAATGCAGAAAAAGCTCACTTGGCTGAAGGGTCATGGAGCCAACATTTCAGCACGCAGGTGGCTGAACATCAGAAAATATCCTCAAGGTAAGGAGGTCAGGTATTGAAGTGAGCAGGGCACGTGTCACTGAGCCTTCCTCGTGACAGGGATGCCAGACCCAAGGCAGAGCTGTGACTTGCTTAGACCATACACAAAATTGGAGACCGGCTAAGGCATAAAACTGCATCCCTACCACCCATTCCTGTACCATTTACTCTCCATTCAACATGACTCTCATGCTACCATCCTAAGGGTCCTGCATCTTTCTGGCAAGGGGCAGTGTCCCCATGACTGCTGTTTCTAGGGTGAAAGAGCTGAGACACACGCATACAGGGAAACTGAGTCACATTCCAGGTCCAGTGATGCTGCAATGGCCACATCAAGCCCTCTCCCTTCCTTTGGAGAAGAATGTAGACTGTGAATTTCAAGGCCCAGATTTAAGGCAGACTGCGGTGAGGCACACCAGCACCAACTGGAGCTTGGTGGAGGTGCTGAGCCAGGAGGTAGGGACCTGGTCTCAGACCCTGGATCTATGCGGGCTGCTATGCGGCCTTGGGCAGCAGCTCCGTATCTGTGTCTGCTGTCCCTCCCAGCTTCGGGTCTCTCCCAGGGTGGAGAGAAGTTGGGAAATTAAGCAGAGAAGGAGAGAAGACCTCAGCTACCAAAAGGAGAGAGAACGGCCATAGACAAGCACTGTGCACTGAACTGTGTCCCGGTAAAATCCATGTTGAAGCCCCAACCCCTACTGTGACTATACCAGAGACAGGGTCTTCAGGAAATAACTGAGGTTAAAGGAGGTCTAACAGGCAAGAAGCCTCACAATGGGATTAGTTAGTAGCTTTGTAAGAAGAGGGAGACTGCTCTGTTCTCCATGCGAGGACACAGCGAGAGGGTGGCCCTATGCAGCCAGGAAGTGGCCCTCACTAGATCCCACTGTGTTGGCATCCTGATTATGAACCTCTAGCCTCCAGAACTGTGAGAAGACACATTTCTGCTGTTTAATAGAGCCACACAGCCTATGGCATTCTGTTACAGCAGCCCAAACTAACACAGGGGACCAGGACACAGATGGACGGAGCAGGGGTGATAAAGCATGCTGGGGAGAACCAGGCAGAGGCAGGGGCAGTGGCTATCATGTCCACCATGTCCTCACTGTGTGCCTTGAACTAGTCACCTGACCTCTGAGCCTCAGTTTCCCCATCTGAAAAATGGAGCTAACAGGGATGTCATGCACATTTTAAATCAGCTACCACACAAAGCACTCAGCACAGCGTGTGGCCTGTATGTGCTCTCAAGACATGATTACTGTCACCATTATTAATCAACAACATACTTGGAGCATCTCTGGCACCTAGAAGGCCCAGTGATGCTGCCTGCTCATGTGTCTGCCATGTCAGGGTCACCAGACACTGCCTGAGCTTTTGTCCTCTGCAGTGGGAAACAGAAAACTGCCTGATTCAATTGCCTCAGAATTCATTTCTTTAAATGTTTTAAGAAAAACTCAAAGAGAGTCCCCTGTGCGCCAGGCACTGTTCTAACAAACAAACTCTGCTCACATCCTCAGTAACAGCCTAGGGGCTCAAGTCGCGGTTTCATCTCCACTTTACAGTCCAGGAAACTGAGGCACTGAGAGGTGAAATAACATGTCCAAAGCCAAGTGGGTGATAAGAGGCATCAGTGAATAGGCTGTGGAGTTGGAGGGACAGGGGGCTGAATCCCCATTCTACCTCTAAGACCTTGCCCAGAGCTGGTCACCGGGCAGAGGTGGTGCTGCTGACAGAAGCTGGTAGCAAACCATGTTTTTCAATATCCCAGCTGGACAGTCAAGGAAGCTTCTGACATTCTTGTTCCCTAACAGAGACCGTACAGGTGCCAAAGGTCAGTTAGTCTTGGTTCCCTTGAGATAGGTTTGCTGGGCACACAGATGGGAGGGGAGGGGACGAGACAGGCTCCCCAACCAGAACCCCCTCACCCAAGCTTTCCTCACAGACGATGTTCTGAAGCTCAGCCTAACATCTTGAAGGTTCCTTACTGTCCCACCTCAGTGACCCTTCCCACTCTCAAGGCCCTTACCAGCACCATGGGCCCCTGGTGGGAAGCTTTTGAAGCTAGAAAGCTGGGTGGAAGGAACTGTCACCTGCCCATCTGCATACCTTGTGACCTTGGACAAGAGACTGCCCTCTCTAAAGCCTCCTTTTCCTCATCTGTTAAAGGAGGACCATGACCCTGACCAATTGTGGGGCAGGGATGATGCCTTGCAAGGAGCCCAGTGGGGCTGGCACAGAGGGGCTGTCCATAGATGGCAGCTGCCATTATGATTGCAACACGGGTTCACAATGATATGCTTGCCTCTGGGAAGCCTTCCCAGCTTACTTGAGTCTTCCTCCAAAAGGTGACTCTGATAGCTGTCCTCCTGCTGCATTCTAATGGACTCACCTCAGCTCACCTGTCACCTTTCTGCCCTCCCATCTAGCTTCTAGCTCACTGCTTTGCTTTATTTCTTTTGTAGCCCTAACTGCCATCTGAAAATACCCTACCCATTAATTGACTCTCCCAAGTTGCACATGCCCTAAGATCAGGAGGGGCCCTCAGGAGTCTCACACACTGCTGTATTCCCAGCATCCAGTAGGCCCACGGTGAGTACTCCATAAATACTGTATTTGCTGAACAACTGAAAGAATACCGCCCTGCTGGGATGTATGACCCATGCAACAGCAGAGATGGCTTTGCAGAATGGACAGTCATCCTTACAACAGCCCCAGGCATAAATGCATCCCAGGAGAATCCCTCTCCAAAGGCCCAGAGCATAAAGCAAAGCCAAATTCAAATCTGTATCTCCTGACGCCCGTCCTTTGTCCTTTCTACTGAACTATCAACCTCCGCTCACCTGCAGTACCTTGAACACCTACGGTTCAGGGATGGGCACAGGGGAAAACGGCCTCTCCTTGGTTCTTATATCCACATTATCCACCCAAACCAACCAGAGGCCACACTGGCAAATGGCAGCTGCAGCTGTTTGACTGGGCAGACTCTTGACTTAGGCCACAGAAGACAGGGGCTACATCAGCCACCCTCTCTCGCCCACAGGCATGACAGCACATAACCATCCACATCCTTAAATGTGACTCCGGCAACAACTTTTTCTTCTCCCCCCGACTTCCATGCTTTAGATTTACAAGCCCAAATGTTGCTTTTCTCAGATGTTCTGCATTTAATTAGGTGTCCTAATAACAATGGAATTGCAGAAGTACTTATATCACTTTGAATTAGTGGTGCAGCTCCTTCTAACTTCTTTAAAAATTTTTTTTCATATATCATTTTTTAAAATAGAGCTCATTATTTTAATTATATCCATTTAAATGTACAGTGGAGCCCTTGGATATTCTCAGCACGAATCATTAGGTATATTAGTGAAAAAGCACTTGGAATCTATCTACATGCTGACACTCCATAATCTATTCTATTTGTGTCGCTGTAAAATAGATTTATATATAGATAACTACAAAATAGTTGCTCAAGATATGTTATGAATTTTATATTTAACCCGAGTCACACTTCAACATAAAATCCAAAGTCGGGCATTAAAAGGATATTTTTCAGTAAGTACGTGCTATCTGTGGTCACTGGTTACTAATTGCGCCAGTCTGCAGGGAGAGAAGCCAGGTCAAGTGAGTCCTTGCCCAAGAAATTTTCCAAGAGTGCTGGCCTTTCTCTAACGCAATGGTTCTCAAAGTATATTCCTTGAGGTCAAGAGTTCCACAGCAATAGCTCTAAGAATCATCCATGAGGCCAGAAAGGGAGGGTGGTTTTAAAAGGGCTCTGAGACCCCTTTTATCTCTAAGCTCCAATATGCACAGCTTTTTGCTTCTTGCTTAACAGAGATTTGGGCTTCTTTCTCCCTGTAGTGGGGGGAACGGTGGCCCCCTAAAAGATAGCCCACACCCTAATACCCAGACATTGTGAATGTTGACCTTATTTGGGAAAAGGGCCTTTAAAAATATAGCCAATTTAAGGATCTTGAGATTGCGCTTATTCTTGGATTATTCAGGTGGCCCCTAAATGCAATTAACAGGTATTTAACAGGCCCCTAAATGCAATTACAAGACAAAAGAAAATTCGGGATAGACAGAAGAGAAGTTACAGAAAAGAGGAGGAGGGTGGCGCCTGTGGCTCAGTGGGTAGGGTGCCAGCCCCATATACTGAGGGTGGCAGGTTCAAACCCAGCCCTGGCCAAACTGCAACAACAACAACAAAAACAGCTGGGCGTTGTGGCAGGCCCCTGTAGTCCCAGCCACTCAGGAGGCTGAGGCAAGAGAATCGCCTAAGCCCAGGATTTGGAGATTGTTGTGAGCTGTGA